GGAAAAAAAAAAAAAAAAAAAGTTACTTATTTTGAAATTAACTCAAGTATTTCCGACTTCCAACCAAGGGTGGATTTATAGTGGCTCTTCCCCCACAATAAATTTCAAATATGTTATTTTGCCCAAAGTTTTTTCAAGATTTTCAAAAAAATCATAATTTTCAAATTTTGCCCCTCACAATTAATATTTTATGAAATTTGCCCCCACAATTATTTTCTTCTAGCTTTCACCAATAAATGGAATATTTACTTTAAAACATACTTATAAGCAGATTTTATTATGAAAAATATTTCAAGTTCTTCTTAATTCAAATTTTAAACCTAAAAATAAGGAAAGAAATCGTTTATGTAGGCTGACTAGGATATCTATTCTATCCCTCCAAGTACCGCATATACCCCGAAACAAGTGTATCTAAAGAACCCTCCCAATAAATTCATACAAGACTTATGAAGAGTAATTGTGACGTTTAGTCAAGGACAAATCCGACATTACAGCAAAAAAGTCAGAAACAAATTTACATTCTTTGCTGTCATAATGGGCCTACCACAATATATTATAAAAACAATTATGCTAATCAAACAGGGGTTTTGGAGACAGGGAATACGTGTCAGCAGTTGGTTGGTGCTTTTTTTTTTTTTATTATTTTTTTTTCAAAGTTTCCAATCGGTATTTGATACGTGTCCCCCTATTTAAGAACCCTATCCTCAGTCCTGTTTGTGTAACATATCTCTTATAAAAATCAAACTGAACCCACATCATTGGTTGAGAAAATGGCTTCTTGTCAAAAAAAAAAAAGCGGGACCAAATATAGGCTAAGATATATTTTCTAAGCTGAAACTTTTCATCGCGTCATTTGTCCAAGTCCATAGCTCATTCTATCTGCTCTTCTCTATAATTTCCTTTGTGATTTTTCAGTTGTAGATATTCTCAACGAGTTTACACAAATCAAATTAGCTAGCCTATATAAAATGTACAGTTTTGATCTCCCACCCTCTAGATGAACATATTAATGCAATTTCACAATTACCCTTTTTGCCCATTTTGGCCAATTCACCTGAGCTAAGGTTTTACTGATTCCAGTTTCTCAAAGCAATTCCAGAAAGTGAACAAAGGCTTAGAAAGCCAACAATTATAGTTGACACAACCCAAGAACAATAGCACATACTTCAAATCTAAGAACCATCTCTTCAAATAATATATTTGTCATGTAATAATTTAATCGTTGTAAAGAAGATCCTTCACAACACCATTGTAGTAATCAATGAAGATGAGATCAAAATACTAGTTACAAGATACAATGTAAAGTTCCATTAAGCAATCCATGTTAATGAATAATCATTTAGTGGAATAAAAATAAACCTGCGAAATCTTTTATGAAAAGATTTACACTGCAACGGAAATAACTGAAAAGGCCATTGCATATGTTCTTGTGATTGCAGGAAAAGAAGAAGGGCTATCAATGGTAGACTACTTCACACTGGTGTACAAGTATATGTGCTAATCTATTGTATTGAAAGTAGAATATTTACATGTTGAACCACTTTATCTAAAATCTTGAGCTATTGAGAAGGGGACAAACTTATTTATTTAAATTATATCCTCAGATGCTCCTCATTTACAAGCCAAATTCATTTTTTTTTTTCATCAAATCCTTGATGCGTGCACAATTTTTGAAAATAGGTGGGTTGCAATATGTGAACTCTAGACCTGTGACATTATATTGATCCACCATAACTAAAAGTTTATACTGCTAGAAAGGGGATAGAGTTGTTTATTTAAATTAGGTTTTCAACACCACACAATGATTGACCGCAATATTCTCAAAATTGCAACTTCGGGTTCAAGAGGATGCCCAACTATTACTATACCGTAGTTGCATCTAGTTCATCAGCAGTCACACAAAACATAATTTTTCTCAAAATAAAGAAAAAATGTACTTCAGCTTATATACCAAAGGCAGTGTAACTTAAGTGAAAAATTGCATACCAAGATGTATGTCGGATGTCGCAGCTGCAGTGGCATCAACAATGACGGTAACTGTCTGATAATCCAATGCTACTGCATCAAAGACCGTTTGCCGGATGCAATTTGGAGTTTGGACACCTATATAGGTGAACTAACGAATGAAAATCTGACTTCTATCACAAGTAAAGAAGCCAACTCAAAAAACTGGTGGGAGTACAGAAATTATTTACCAGTGATAACTAAATTACTAATTCCGGCACCCTGAAGATACAAATGAAGGTGTGTGTTAAAAAATGCACTAAACCGTGTCTTAACGAGCTTGTAGTCATCGTCTTTGACTATTAGCCCATCAACCAGTTCTGCACCAGCGCTACCCTTGGAAGTTGGTTTTGGTTTTCCAGCAGAATACATGTGCCGACGGAACAATTCCACATCTCTTCCCAAAGGATCGTGCTCACGAACAACCTAAGCCCCATTTTTCAATTGCCATTTCAAACATTATGATTCTTGACATTTGCAATAAAATTTAAGGACTTCAAGAAGTTGTTTTCCTACTTTATTAAAATTACAAATGCACAATTATCAAGAAAGATCAAAATGCAAAACATAAAGCCTCTGTCTTCTGTAGGATCCAACTTCAATCTGAAAATACCCATTTCGGAAATCAAATTCAATCAGGCACGTATTCTTTGCTTTAGTCTATCTGACAGGGGACTCAAAGATTATCACATATTCATTAAAACCAGATATAACTTAATTCTAATTCTATTCATTCCCATTAAGAGAAAAAAAAAATATGGCATACCAAAATAACATACTCAACTCATTAACTATTGAAACAGCGCATCTTAAAGCTAAAGCAACAAATTTTTCATGAAAGTGGCGCCAAAATTTAACTCAAGAACATGGCCAGCGTCAATAACATATTGAACCACCTCCTGTAAACTATCAACATTTATTTATTTCAAATTCAGTCTTCAACATAAACAGAAAAAATTAGAAAGTAACCCATATAATGGGAATGCCACGGCTTCTAGCAATCTCAACAGCCTTGATAACATTAGGCACAATATCTTGGCCACCTTTCACGTGCATCGGGCCACCTGGTAGTATAAAATCGTTCTGAACAGAAAAGTACCAAAACAAAAAATTTTAGTATCAAATTCTTCAAAAAAATGATAACAGAGAAAGAACCCATGAAGTCATTATTATAATTTCAATAAAATATCGAATTATTATTCAAAATGAAAATATACGAATAAAAGTGTACCCGTTTATAAAAAATTCTGAAGAACAAGATAATTATAAATTTTTTGATAGAATGCATAGTTGAACTTGAAAAGAAAAGAAAAGGAGAGGAGGGATCGACGAGGACCTGCATGTCAATGACAAGAAGAGCAGTGGTGTTCCACTTGGTGTCAGCTGCGGCCATTTTTAGGCTTGCAACGGCTCTGTTCACTATCCGATGAGCTTCGAATGGCAATGAAATGCATAGTGTAATTTTCCTCTTCAGGTCCTCAATCTTTATATGTGCTAATTATTTAAGATTATCATATTTCTTAGATGATATATCCATAGTCTCTAGTTGAGAAAAAATATTTTTTATTTTTCTAATAATCTTTCTAACAGATTATCTAATCCTTTATTGTATAACATGGCATCATTTAGATAATTCCTTACAAGTTTTATGAATAATAATAACATGATAGATAAGTTTTTTGCAAACATGAAAAGTAATAATCCCTACGATTCTTTCAAGATATTAGAAGAATTCTTTCTAAATTTAACAAATACAATAATTTTACCTTACTTTTGATTTTAAATCTGTATTCTTAGAACCGAGTGACCTTCAGGTTCTGAATCTGCAAACTGCTCCCTCAAATGACCTTTTGCCTTAATGGGAATTATGCTATTTCAATTTCTTGCCCTCACTGTATATTTTCTTAGAATTAAGAATAAAGAGTTTAAGTAAAGAAAATTCTCTCTTTGTTAAAGTAAGAAAGAAATTATCTTTTTCAATCTGTCAAGAATTTATGGGATAGGAAGTTTAGAAATTCATATTTTTCCAATATCAAAAGATTAAAATTTTATTTATATAATGATTTATACAATGTTTCTATTGTATACAAGGGGTTTTCGAAAAAACTGGTTTTAAACAAAGTTTAAGAAAAGAGAATGGTTTCTAACTCGAGATGCCCCAATCTTTCCCCAAAAATCTCTATTTATACATGACTCAAACTTGCTATTATTGGTCTATTACATTATTGCATACATCAGAATTTGAAAAATGCTCACATGCCTCTCTGTTCTTTTCCTCCTGGGGTCTACATTTTCACATGCGTTTTTGCTTTTTCATCAAAGAGATATATTTTCCTCTATTATTGCCTCT